GGAGAGGGAGAGGGAGAGGGAGAGGGAGAGGGAGAGGGAGAGGGAGATGGATGGATGAGGAACTCTACATGAGTAGCAAGGAAAAGGCCAAACCCAATGATCCATTTCTCGGGTTTTTCCGCCAACGCTGAAACAAGCCTTGGTACTTTATTAACATTTAGTCAACTTCCAGTAGATGTTTTGGAAGGTATATTTTCACTCCATGTCCGAAGGCACCACCAGTGATGCCAACATCGCCAAAGGCAGCCCCGAAGCCATCAGCGAGGAGCACATCGGCATCAACAGCAGCTGAAGGGCCGCAGCAGCCTTCAACGGCTAGCCCAGCAGCACCCTACAGCGGAAATGCTCCGCCCGAGCCTGCTGGGCCGCCACCAGGATTCAATGAACCCATCACTGCAGCCAAGCAGCGTCGTGGACGAAAGTTGAACCTGGTGAGCATTGAGTGTCCGAAGTGCCAGAATTTGGTTCTCCATGGAATGATTGTTTGCAACGTGTGCTCAGCTGAACTGGAGGGCAATACCATGCTGCCCGAGACGACGGTGAAGCATTTGGCAGACCTGCGACGCGAGCAACTTGCTCGCGCAGGCGTTGCAAAGTCAGAGAACCTCCTGAGCGACTACATCCAGGCTGGTCTCAAGCTCAGGGTCACTTCGCAAAGTGGAAGGGGGAATATCAGCCCAGAAGCTGCCCTGATTCAGGAAGCCCGCAACCGACGCAGAAGGGCAGAGAAGTGTGGGTTTCATTCCATCGAAGACAGGGTTGAGCATGACGTTCAGTTCATGGAACGCATGTTGCAAATGGGGCATGATTTTGTGGCGGCACGAAAGCAGGATTGGCTCTGCCATGTGCACCTCGCCAATCCCCCCCGCAGCAAAGCGCAGGTGAGCCTTGGCTTGGGATATGACTCCGATCATTCTCTTGCCCGCTTGGCCTACGTCGATGTAGTGCCCGAACAATATCCGGAGCCTATGGACTACATCACGGAGCAATGGTGCATCATGTACCGGGCCTATGTTCTTAGCCTGCGAGAGTATTCGGAATACATCCGTACTCCACAAGCTCATCGCGACCTCCTGACGTGGACAGGTGTGCACCATCAGCCTTGAGGATTCCCTCGGCCATCTTCGCCACCTGTGTCAGGAAAGCCATGCCGCCGCACGCAATGACGTCATCAGCAAGCTCAACCAGGAGCAGCGTCAGCAGCAGGGCAAGGGCAAAAGGAAGTCCCACACCGATGAGGGCGCTCCCACCAGTAAGGCAAGGGGGGCCCAGCCACCATCGTCGGTGAGCCCGACGGCTGCAGCCGGATCTTCTTCCTCTTCTTCGTGGGGATGGAGCTCATGGAGCTGGAGCAATTGGGAGGAGCCGCGGCAGTGGGGCCGAGGCTCATGGGACTGGAGCTCGAGTCAGAGCTGGGGGCGATGGAGCTAGTTTGCGAGCTCAATTCATTTGCATGACATCCTTTTGTCAATCTGTATTGCGGTTTTCCTCCCAAGTCCATATTTTTCAAGTATCTTCTGGCGGCGGGGAGTGAATAAATAAAATGCACTTACAGGGTCACGTTTGGCATTGGATTGCTAGCGTCCATCTATGCCATCAGCAACCCGGCCTGCTTCATCGCAGTGCCCTGCACCAGCCCTAGTTCACTTTCCGCGTCCAGCTTTGGTAGCAAAGCTACCTCAGCTGAAGGGGGTGTATTTTCACTCCATGTAATATGTACACTTTTGCCATGCACACGTATAGGATGTCATACCGGACTTTATCTTTGCAGCTCGCGGCCCAAAACAGGTGTTGCAGCTTAACGGCTGTTTCTATAGAAGGGTGGAACATCATCCCCAAAAATGCTACCGTGACCGCGTTCCTATTGAAGCACTGTCAAACTCTCCGGCTCCATTTTTTGGCAGGGCCTTCAGATTGCCCCGCCTGGCATATGAACACTGAACACCCCCTTGGCAGACCGCCTGGCCGAAGTCTTTCGTCGCTGTACTTTTTTCCCAGTACGGCTCCCTGGCATATGATATGAAAACACCCCCTTGCCTTGGCAGACAAATGCCGAAGTCTTTCGCTGTACTTGACCCAGTACGGTTCCCGTTCGCTGCATCTTCTCCGATGGCTGAGGATCCCGATCAAAATGCAGGTGGAGAGCCTTGGCAGGGAGACTTCAGGCATGTGGTTCCAGCTGCCTTGGGCGAAGGTGGCCACTAATCAAAAGAGGGTGAAGTGATGAAAAGTGCATATATAAACAGCAGCTGCACCGAACCAGCTGAATCTGTGATGTGTTTTTGGGGTGAAACCCCTCGGCAGCCACCCACGTACCTGGATCCTTTGGATCCTTTGTACCTGGTTTCCGTTCTCGGTGCATCGTTGAGGCTCCTGAAAGGACTACAACGCCTTTGTCGCATCGGTGTCCGGGTGGTCGTGGCTGGAAGAAGCTCGACCAGAAGCGAGCTGGGTCTGAAGCAAGCTCGCTGGGAGGTTGCATTTGAGAAGTATGGTCGGTTCATGTTTAGTCAATGTTCAGACCACTTCATGCTATTTTCCATTTATATTTCCTTTTGGATCCTCTAGGAGCTACAATCCTTCCACAGGATCAACTCCGTGTTCATTTATCATTTGGATCGGTGCGGATAGACTGCGGCAGATTCACCTCGAACCTGCATAATTTTCACACATACGAAAGGTTTCTACTCGTTCGTCAAACTCTATGCCTCGAAGCCTTGCACGCAGTACTGTCCCCAAACTACCATCGCAACTCCAAACCTGCTTGCTTGCTTACTTGAGTCAGGCTATGTGGTGGTTTGTGTCATCCCAACAAGTTTAAGCCAAAGGCTCCATCAGCCTCCAGACCTCTCCTGAGCCAGGAAATCCAGGTGTCGCCTGGTTCGCCCGGTTCGGGCGCTCCACGAGGCCCACCGCCCGACGTCTTCGCCTTCTTTCCACCCAAGGAGGCGCGGTGGCGCTTGACACAGTCCTCCCATGGAGGGAAGTCGGAAAGGAGACTTTTGAGGTTGATGTTTGGTTGTTTGGTGTCGTCATCCGTCTTGATTGTCTATGTTGACCTACCTGTTTACAGCTTGCTCAGCTTGCATAAGAAGCATCAAGCTCAGTCGAAAGTGCTCGTAGAGGACTGTCTGAGTTCACAAATCCATCACCAGAGAGCTGTTGCGGTTCATCGTGCCTCTCTCTTGGAAAGATACCAAAGGAGACGCAGGCGGATGTGCCTGAGCAGAAGGAGCAGAAGGAACAGAAGCCAAAGTTTTTTGTCTGCAGAAGCTCTACACTGTTCTTTTGAGGTAGATGTGGTTTACAACATCCTTTGCAGGGGGCTCCTTGTTCATCTCCGGCGTTGTTTCACAGCGAACTTGTGTTGACCGACCAAAATGGACCAGAGATAAGGAAGAACTGTGAAGAATGTAAGATCATGTAATCATGTAAGGTCTCCAAGACATATAGCCAGGCATTTCTCCTTTTGTTTTTTACTTAAGCTCCATTTCCAACCTGCCGAGGTTTGCGATGTTTGCCGGCTTGGATGGGGGAAGCGCGGAGGCTGCTATGTGGTCGAGAAAGAGGGGACAGGGTCTGGGAACTTGACAGAATGCTGGTTTTCCGGAAATGACAGGAGAGGCTCCCTCCCAAAACCCCACTTTGCAGAGGAAACTGGTTTTTCAGTGTCCCTTGCCCACTTGCATGATATTTGGGAATGTTAGAGGAAGAATTTGCTTTGAAGAAAGGGCCAAGAGCTTCCTGGCCCCTACCGAGGAAGCATCGATTCCCTCTCAGAAGGCTTCAATCGTGAGCTTGTATGGCAACCGGATTCGTTGTCACAGCTGACACCTGGAATGTATAGTCACATGTTCAGGTCGTTGTGGATAGAAGGCCAGTGCTTCATGGTGTCCATTCAGGCGCTTCAACATCTTAAACCTTCTAGGTAAGCACCGTGTCAGAGCCAAGCAATCCAGAGGGACGAAGATTTGTGTAGTAATTAGTGCATCCGTGCCTCGGCCACCCATTTTGCGACAAGTGTTGCAGAAGCTTTGTGCACTGACCCACTAGAGGATAACAATCAATAGTGAGGCAATTTATGCACTTCGCAGGAAGAACTTGAGGCCAAACTGTAATTTACTAGATGAAACAACCAACCCTCATGTACCACTTTTGGTGGGCCTCTTGACAGCTCATTGCTCCAGGCCACATCCGAGCAACGGCCCTTCACCAAGAGAGTGCCCCCATCACAGGAGCGAGAGGACGCTTGGTGGCTTTGAGCTGAGGGGGTTCCAGGATCAACACTTCAGATCCCGCAAAAGATGTAGATCGGCTACCCTCTACAAACAGAGGGTCTTCCACTTGGAGCGTAAGTGGAATCCCCAGCAACTAGTCCAGCAACCTTTCCCGCTCCATGTCGGAGCTGCCACGCGCAAGAGAAACCTCGTGCACCAAGGAGTCAGATTGTTGGTGGAAGCCACGGCAGGCAGTGGAAGTGAGGGGAAGGGTCTTCAACTCTTGTGATGCTTGTGAGGGTTTGGTTGTCGGCTGCTGGTTGACAACACGCAGTCTATTTCGGGGAACGTTCTTGCTTAACACAGCGCAACTTTTGTTATGCATAAAATGTGATCCAGTTCAAGTAAGGCATCTTTACATTTTTTGGGCTTGATTTTTTTGGGCTTGCTGAGATTGTTGCACAACTTTGTTATATACTTGTATTGGCCGTTCAGTGTCCATGTTTCTTTGGTGTTGCGAGGTCCCATGTCCGGGACACAAGTAGAATCCACTTTGTTGAACATACCCCCGCTTCGCCAGAATATGAAAGTCAGACAAGGCATGGTCGACCATGAGGTATTGAACCTGGTTCACCGAACCTGCCAGGAGTTTTGCCAGTTTTGGCTGGTGCCTCCCAGAGAGATGCAACGACAGAGACGTGCCAATCTTCGCTTGGGGACCTTGACAGGGACTCCGTTGGAGGTGATCGAAGAAGCACAGGCGCTTCGCCCGCATGGCGCTCGAGCGTGGGGCCACCAGGTTTGTGGCGCATCAGCCGCTGGACGGGTCAGCTAAAACAGGTGTACACAAGGTGTGTTGGAAACAGAGCACGCGTGCGCGGAGGTAAGTGGGTGGTTAAGAGAAAAAACTAGCAGCCTATGCATGCCTATGCTATTATGTGCAGCCTGTCCTGACTCGTTTGACACATGCAATCACACAAGTGAGGAGACTACTTTGGCAAATGGTCAACCTGTTAGCCAAGCCAAGTGGTTCACGCGGTACCCGAGCGATCGCCAAACCCGACACCCAAAAAAGACACCGATCGCTGAAGAACCTGTTTTGACTGCGCGATCGGAGATCGGGGTCTGAATGGATGGATAAGGACACAATAGGACACACTTTTTGGTGCCTCGGAGATGTTGTGTGCGTGTGTGCGTGTGCGTACCTCGTCTATAGATTGCTCCGTCCGTGGCACGGATAAGATCCCGGATATTCTCCGAGGATTTTGGGCTTCAATGTGATTTCTTCAAGTCGACATGGCCTTTTTTTTAACCAGTCCATGGTTACCATGGTTGTGGTGTGGGATAAAGATGCCTTCAATAATGACATAATAACGGCATGCACAATTTTGCACGATCTATTTGCAACATTTAATCCTATATGGCCACTGCGCACGGAAAAAGCTTTGTCATTGTGTGGTTTCATTTTATTCCGACTGTCAGGAGGCCAGGCTCTTCGATAGCTTCCTCTCGGTGCAATCTGCGCCCTTCTTGGAGTTGTTTCTGTCACATGCGGAGCCTCAGCTTGAAATATCATACATGATGACTTTGGTTTGATATGGTCGTACAGGCCAACGCTGAGCCGATGGCATGTCGTATGGGCAAACCATTTGGATACCACTGTGATAAAGGGCCGCGCCGCAAACAGCCAGTCTCAGCGTAGTTTGGAGGTTCAGCCAGGGTGTATGTTGATGTAGGAGGCTGGGACCACGGTGATGGTGGGTTTGCACACTGAGCATGGCATATTGCAAGACTCCTCATTTATGTCGACCAACTACCACCGTCATGCATGTTCCAAAGAACTTCTTTTGGTATGGGATGATTTGGCTTCCAGAGCCTCGAACATTTTGGCACTTTGCACTCTTCGATGGGCGGAGAAGGGTGACTTAGTTTGGGAGCTGATGTCATTGGTGGGTGAGCATCCAACCGGGTAAGGGGAAAGCAGTCCTTCATTCTACACTTCCCAAGGGTCAGCCCACCATTCACCATTCTCTAAGTCATTGCCGAGCTTCCGGATGATTCCTGGAGTTTCTGTCCGGTCCGCGTTGGTTCGCGCCACAAGTTCCTTCGTTCCTTTGGAGGAGATGGAGATCTTGCACCCCACGGCAGAGAAGCTCGATGAGCTCGGTGGAAGCTCACGACCTTCTCCTCGTTCGAGCCATGCTGAGAGCCACTGCGACTGAAGTCGATGTGAGAGCCGAGTGCGTGTGGGTGTGGATGAAGGGACCCTGTGCTCGGAACACGAGCACTGAAAATGAGACTGAGTCGGTCTTATGGCAGCAACGGTCTTTGAACGACGGTCTAGATTCTTATTACACTCTGACTGAAAAACATGGAAGTGGATGGCATGGTCCCTTGAAAGACTGCTTTCCTTTGTGCACAGGGGTGTGTTCCACTTCCATGCGATGTGTTCCTCAGAGTGTCGTAGGTGGGACTGTGGACGTCCGTGGTTGGTCACCGTCTTGCCGGCACCGTCGAGGGTTGACCCGAAAACAGTCATTGCACCGGTTGTGAAAGAAAGTGAAGGAAAAGACTGTTCTCGGGTCAAACCTCAAGGGTATTGTGCAGATGAGACTGGGAGGTCAATGATTGATCATCAGTTCGCTAAGCTAGATTTGTGCGGTGTGTTTAGTTGTCCCTTTTGGCTAGCACTTCGATGGGGATGTTCGCTCATGCCCTTTTGCTCTCGCCAAGGCATTTTCTCAGAGGTCCCGCAGCGGCTATCTTTGCCATCCTTGGTGGATCCAAAAGAGAAAGAGAAGGAGACAACAGAGGAGGCGCCTTGATCAGAGCCGATGTTGGAGCGTTGCAGAGGTGAGAGCAGAATATGTTGTCCCGATGTCATGGTACGGAATATGTCATGCATATTGGCATCCCGATGCCCATCCAAAGCTCCTGGAATCTGTGTACCTCACATGCAGCATTTATAGGCCTTTGGAACCAATTTCGTGAGGAAAGTTCCAGCTCCATTCAGGTTGGAACTGATTCACTAACATGGTTCCAGAGCACCTCTGAGGGTTTGAGGATTGATTAAGTTGAGCCAGCTCCAGACCATGGCAGTCGATCAGCCAGGTAGAACCCTTGCTACGTGGTGCCTGTGGCATTTTGAATGACTTGCCTCTCGGCCATGCTTAAGCTATACACACTCTAACTTTAAACACCAAGGCATCCAAGGCAAGCACTTCATTTGACGTGTTGAGGTTCGTCCTCTCTAGATGGTGCTTGCAAGCCGTTGAGCCTCGCTGGCCCAAATTGTTCAGCGGACCATGTTCTTCTGAGGTGTTGCCTTCTGCCTGAGTTTTGCCAAACTTAGGAAGGGCCTAGAAATGGCCAAGCGTTGTATCCAAGCATTTAATCCGCTTTGCTTGTGCGGTTGTGGCTATTGTTTTCATCATCAGGGCCGTGGGCCCTCCATGCATTGAACACCCGAAACTGTTTGGAGTGTCAGATCCTTCAAGATCAACGAATTTGATTTAGGTCGTCATTGGCACACGTCAATCACCGTCCCACCAAGGTTCGCAGCCAGTTGTGCGCAGATTATTTCATCCTTGCAGGAGGCAGTGGGAACAACCAAACAAGCCACTCGCGTTTCTTTTTTTTTGGTGAGAACCAATATTGCAGCATCAGTTGCAATAGCTTTGTTACGTCATGAAAACCAGTGAAACTGCCAGCTTGTAGAACACAGATTGTTTAAAGATTGTTCTCAGTGCCCATCTTCAAGTCAGGTGTCCTAAGTCCTGCCCAGGTGAAGATGTCCCGTGGTGGACGCCTTCCACAAAAAGTGGAACCAGGTGGGGATCCACGGCCGCTGTTGTTGCTACCACGGGTGTTTGGAGAGTTGCAGGTCGTGGGAGAGGTGCTGGAATGGGAGAGGTGCGGAGGCTTGTTCATGCGATCCACGCCTGCAAGACTCTTGACATCTTTGGGTCAATTTGTTGAAACATGCAGAAGGAAAAAATGCCACTTCCAATGCGTCAAGAGAATGTATTCAGAGGCTCCACAGATCACAAGCAAGGCAGATCCTTTGATGATACAAAGCGCTATGTTCAGCAAACCATGTGTTGGACATCGGTTTCACGGTGGGCCTAGTTTCACTAGTTGACCTGCCCAGATTGGCAGAGTTTTTTGGTCAGGTCACTTGCAGTTGGCTTTACAGCTCCTGGCACTGAAAGCCACGGAGAATGGTAGTGATCGCTTGGAAGAGGAAGAGGCCAACTATGTCATTGAATTTGGAGGCTGGACCTGCGGTCATGGATCATGTCCTCACAGTTGGCGGTTGACCTAGATGGTCCATGAGTCAACCAATTGTTTGAACCTTGGTCAATATCCCTCACGTTCATGAGCATTATGAGCTGTGTTGGAAATAGATTGCTTGCCCACGGATTTGGTGAAGCTTTATGTACATCACGTGGCCAGGGTAGTAGTGGCAACCCTTTCCCCCTGTCAAGTGTGTCGATTGCTTGGTTCTTTTTACTTGGGAGATGTTATCACAATTCGCCAAATCTGACCTTTTGAATCTGAACTCCAACCATGCCCAATCACCCATGAGTCTCGAATTGAACATTCACCAGGACATGAATGATTCTGAATGGCTTTGAATTTTGTGGAAGATCATCCACAATTGTACATCTCGGTACAAACACCAGATTTTGCTTCACAAGCCTGCCCCCCGTTCCAGGGCCAAGTGCTCTCAAGTTTTCTCAAGAGCACTTTTTCCCCACGTGTGCGGTTTGTGTTCCATGGGTGAGGCTCCTCACAGTTAATGACGGCTTGGCGTCAGATACAGCAAGAGATGCAAAATGAGAACTTTTGGCTTCTCAGGCAGCTCGGGGGTTCGCCCGTGGATTTGTTTGAGTCCTGAAGGCTTGCGGTATACGCCTTTGACCCAACATAGGTGCGAAATACTGTTTGGTTCGAAGGGATTGTAGACTTTGATGGTTCTAATTTCTAATGTTCCGACAGTCATATTGAAGCCCTTCAGACATTGCATGTCCCTTACTAAGTGCGGGGCTTCTTCAACCTTGGGCCAGATGGCTGACCGATGACCCCTACCCGGGAGGGGTAAGAGTCGGTATACGAGATGGTCAGAGGCTGAGCAGCGTGAGTCGTGTTGTTGTGACGACTGAGTGGTTTGCGTTTTGTGTTTATGACCTACTGGCCTCAAGTGGCAGTGGGTCAAAACAGAGGGTAACAGGTAAGCCCGCTGCCAGGTACCCTTCGATAGTAGATATATAAATGATGAAACAGGTAAAGTATGCTAAAGTTATCTCTTTGACATCTTCTTATTTCGGGCAGCAGCGGCCATACAATGATTTCACACATGTTGCCACAGTTGCACAGTCTTGCAGAAGTGTGTTGTAGTTGAAAAGAACCCAACATCTCCTAGCATTGCTTGCAGGAGCTTGACCCTTGAGAGTTGGGCCAGGCCCCTCAAAGTGCTTCTTCACCAGATTTATAGAATGTGTTTTCTATTATAGTCAACTGAGTGGGCTGGGTTGTTCAAGATCCCAAAGGTTCACTTCCACTTGGGTCACTTGTTCAAAGACCAACTGAACTGCTGAACCGAAATCGCTCGACGACACAGGAGATGTGTGGCTCGGCGATGTGTGGCCTTTTTTTGCGGGTGGGGCGGTGAAAGTCAACTGCTGTTTGCGTTCAGGAACCAAGCTCTTGTTGTTTTTCTGAAATCCTTTTGTAATTATGTTGATTCGCACGGGATTTTGCAGTAGACTTGGTGCCAGCAGCAGCCCTGAGCTTGTTGCAAGTCTTTTGTCATTCGCTTCTAGGGAAACCGATTGCTTTCTGTTGATCAGAATGGTGGAACTGAGTATCCGTTGATCACTTCACCAGCACAACATGGCACAGCCATGGTTGTTGGTAAAAACTTTCTTTGGACAACTTCAGGCATGTATATATGTATATATATACTTGGACTCACTAACATGGAAGTGGAAACCACCCTACTCGCAAAGGAACAGTCCATGTTCCACTTCCATGTTAGTGAGTCGGAGGGTATATACCAAATGGGAAACCCGAAGCGACTCTTGCAGCCAGAAGGCTTCCAAAGGACCGAAGGACCACTGATGGGACATCACTGGAGCTGGGCCAGGCGGTGTGCAAGGTAGACTGCCGACCGTCCGCAAGAACCAACTCTCAGAAGTTGAGAAAGCGGTGAACAATTCTTGGTGTCTCTGGCACAATAATTCCGCGTGAGGAGGACAAGCACAAGCATGATAGATGGACCAAACAAAGGCAACAAGAAGCAAACCGCGCCATGGTTTTCCACCCTTTTGCGTGTAGCCCCCCGGTCGTCGCCGGTCGTGTCCGATCTCCGGGAAGAGCCTCCGACCGAATCGGATCCGCGGATGAGGAATCGTGGATCTCATGGGAAGAGCTCGTTGTGCACTACGTTTTTCCATGCCGCTGTGTTCAGAGCGACTTGGCAGTCCCCAGAGGCTCCACACAAGGTGTATCAATGATGGCGAGATTGTTGGGCTGAGGCTTTTTAGCCAGTTTGGAGTTGGCGCAGACCTGGAACAAACAATTCTTCCTCGGCACGATCGAGGATGCATTTGAGGCGCCGCCACTGTCGGTTCGAGGGGTGATGGTCCGGTTTGGTGCGGCGGTCGCGACCGTCGATTTGGCACCTTTCGGTTTCTCAGCGGCAGATCACGTGGGCCACCGGAAGTTGTTCCCAAGGCCTTAAGCAAAAGAATTGGTTTGTTTACATCCATTGATGTTTAATATCGTTTAATCGTCCCAGGAAATGGTTCCAGATTGTTTTCGCTGCTCTTCTGTGGGCACTGCCACAATGACAGGACCCAGCCGCGCATCCTTTGCTGCCCTTCCTGGCGGAGCTTTTGCCAGGAGATCGGTTTCTGGAAGTGAGGCAGGCCACATGCCATCACATGCCATGCTGGTCATGGTTTGAGGATGCTTCTCATGCCTTTGGGGGGGACAAATCGTAGATTGCCAAGTTCTTGGGACGTTTGGATTGATGGAACAATTGGTATAGTTATGTTTGATGTCAGAAATGCGACCGCATGAATGTCATGCACCCTAGGTGTGTAGAGTGGTCCCCAAATTGGATAGTGGCACGGGTTGGATTTGCTTTTCTATTGTTTTCTGTCTATTTAGGGGTCTATGTAGCTCGTCTAGTAGCTCTTCTTTAATCTTGCTGACCTCCTGTTACATCACCCGTTTGACTGGCCCCAGGACCCTTGACATTGCGCTTCGCCGGCATCACAGAGGATAAGGCGCGGTGGATCGCAGGTTCTCCGTACTGCACCGGCAAGTGCGTGATTCATTGGGCGATTGGTGGAGGACGGGTGCATAAGAATCACCATCTCAATTTGTTCCTAAGAAATCCCCGTTGCTTAGAGCTTGAGGGTCCCCGGGACAACCAAGGGGGATCTAAGAATTACCATCTCAATTTTGAAGGGTTGAGCAAATGTGAACCCGACCTAGGACCTAGGGCAGTTCTTTTCTCAGTCTAGCTTGATTTCTTGTATCAGGCGCGCTTGATGCTGGAGTTCTTTTGCAGATGCCCAATGGCAACTCGATGGCAAAGGATGATTGGTGGAGATATGAGGTTTCCAATTCGAGCCAAGTGAGAACTGAATTTTCCGGGCGGTCGCTTTCTTCGTTTCCGGGTGTTCGCTGTTCGGCGGAGTAGCAGATCTTGTTGCGCGTCCGTTGGGGCTTCGGGCCATGAAGCCGGCCTTGAGCCAGGAGCGACGAGCTACCCAGGTCGTTGGCATACGCCAAGGTCGGGTGTCACGACTCGCTCAGTTTCAAGTGATCATCATGCACCGTTTTTGTTTGGGTAACCATCGTGAAGGTTGTGGAACTGGATGCAATTCATGTGTCAGCCATAGAGTTCCCGTTTGTTTGTGAACTGGACGGAATTCATTTGTGGTAAGTTTGCATTTCTCAAACCAGCTCAAACTCTTGAGCTCCGCACGTCGTGTTGAACGAGCGGAGCGCTCGGCAAGGTGAGCTATTTGAGCTTATCAGGTTGCTGAGAGTGGAATTCAGTCAGGTGTTGTGCAGCGAGCGTTTTTGTGGAGGATTTGACACTGTAGAATGGTACTTCCAGAACATGCTGTCCTAAAGCCCCGAAGGTCGAGCCTTTTTGGTATGCCATGGCCTAATATACAATTCTACAGAATTCTGGAGGAAGATCTTACTCAATCGTCATGCTTCTTGAATCACGGGACCATCACTTCTCAGCCAACAAGCTCATTTCCAAATCATGTGAGGAATGTGAAATCCCACATGTGAGTTCCAAGATCAAAACCACAACATCAAAATAGCCAAGTTAGGTCAAAGAGTGGGACGTCCACATGACTCGGGTTGAGAGTGGGACGTCCACAATCCCCAAGTGAACGGTGCTTGAAATGGACCCAGAGGTTGAAGAACCCTATAGACTATCCTATAAGTACCCCTGTAGGGTCCTATTTACGGTCACTTAACCTCTGTTGGTTTATATGGACCCCCGCGCCTGTCTAGGACATCCGCTGGGGGAAACGTGCCAGACAGAGCTTTCAGGCTCGGCCATTGGCCTCCAGCGCAACACCCTGCGCTTGGTCGCGGATGCTTTGAAGGTCGACCAGCTGCTTGGCAAGAGGTGTGGATAGAAGCTGAGGAAGAAAACACGTCTATAGACTATGGATGTCTACAAGTACCTGGGATGGTGACGCTGTGAATCTGCAATTCACCAATATTTGTGTTGAGTCCAAACCTCATTGACTCATGGGTCAGTGTTCGGCTTTCCTCGGCCAGGCAACCTGCGATCCCAGAATCCAGAATCCAACTCGATCGTTGGAACAAGTCGGAAGCAGTAAGTTGGTCAACATGATCATGGCGTTGGTTGTTTTCTTCCAAAACGAAACAGGAGCAGCTCGTTTAGGAATGACACCAGAATGCTCGGGGCGACGCCTGGTGCTCACTGGAGTCACGGGAGTTGTCGGGGTTCAAGTTTCGATGCTCCGCCACTGCCCAGGCACCTGCAGCATTTGGATTTGAGCTCAGAGCTCAGAGTGTGCGCAGAAAACTGCTGGAAGTGAGGGCACCTCTTGTGGCGGCAGTGGGCAGGATGTGTGTGTGTGTGTTACCCTCCGTTTCCAGGAGTTTGTGGCCGTTCACCTAGCCGTGCTAACAAAGCTATGGTGTTCGGGTGGAAGAGATACTGGACGCAGTATCTTGTACCTGCACAATGTTTAATAGTAGTCACACTCAAACATTGTTGAACAATTCGTTTACGTTGACTTTGCGCCTTTCCGTTCCATCTTTCCTTTCCTCGGGGAACAGAGTGAACTGAAAACCCAATGACTAAGTGTGTATCGCTGTGTCTTCCCACTGGGTACACAGTGTGATCCCCCGTGAATCACGTTTTTCTGACTCGAAGTGCCACCACCGTGGATTTTGTTTTGACTTTTTGGTCTCACCCATGAATCAACTTATCGCAAAGTCGCCGCGCTTACGGACAGAATGCCGCCGGGCTTACGGAGAATGAACCCCTGCCCCCTCTTCTCTATCCGCCCCAGTCCGCCCCCCTAATTAGGGTAACAGAAGGAAATGGTACTCGACACACTTGTGTGTCAGTGCCTTTCCTTCTGTTGTCCCTGTTCTAGTCTACTCTACCCGGGCGGTCTAAGACTAAAGTCTGCTCCCTAACTACTGCACGCAATTAACGGCTGCTAAGTATCCAGTAACTATATAGAGTGTTCTAAACAGGGTAACAGAAGGAAATGGTACTCGACACACTTGTGTGTCGGTGCCTTTCCTTCTGTTGTCCCTTTTCTAGTCTATACTCTACCCGGGCGGTTTAAGACTAACGTCCCGCTCCCCAACTATTGCACGTAATTAACGGCTGCTAAGTACTCAGTAACTAGAGTGCTAAGTATTCAGACACACACATGGACATACACCCCCTCCCTGCCCCGCTTTCTCTCTTGTGCTTTTTCCGTTTCTAGGTTTTCTTTCAGGCTTGTTAGGTGGTTCTTGAGGCTCGTTTCCCTGCCCCTCTTCAGTCAAGGGCTAATATAGTCACTTTTTCCGCTACTCCTACCTTTCCTTTTTGCCCTTTTCGTTTTGCTCTTTCTGTCTTTCTTTTTCTTTCCTAAGGCTTTTTAGGTGACTACTCAGGTTTTGCGAGAGAGCGCCGCGAAGCGGCCGAGTGTGTGTGTGTGTGTGTGTCCACTCCTGTTTCCAAGGACACTACTCTAGTACTTTTCTAATCTACCCTACGAGCTTTTCTGTACAGAAGCAGGGGGACAACCCCATGGATGCAGTTGGTTGTCCAACGAAGAGGGCTGCATTCCATGGCTGATATGATCCTGGGACGCTAGGATCACGTACCTGCAATTTTAATAGTAATTTTGATTTTCAATCGCTGAGGTTTCTAAGTCAGTGCAACGCCGTCTCATACGTTGTTTCCTGCAGTATCTAGATTTAAAGGGCTAATGCACACGGCGAAGCTACCTGAAATCACGCTCCACGGAGCAACCTTCTCAAGTGTGTCTTCGCAGCTTCTTCCCACTGTGGTGAGCTGTGTGATCCCTACGGGGCGCCGTTACCGCAAGAACCTGATCACTCCTCACCGAGGGAGTAAGTTTCCTGAATTTCTCTGAAGTCCCTTTGACTGAATTTTACCTGCTCGAAATCAGCTTGGATCGTCTCACCCAGCACACGTGAAGATTACTGCAGAGTTCACTGAAATCCTTTCTGAATCCCACTGCAGAGTCAACTGAAAGTGTTTCACCCGGAAATCCATTCCTTTCAAATCTTTTTAACCTTCCAAGTTTTAATTCAATTTTCCAGAGTTTAATTGCGGTCAGTCAATACACTCCACAACTTTTTCGACCTCACGGACCTCTATTTATTTTCATACATACATACATATTTTCACTGTCTTTGACTTGCCGAGCAGCCATGACGTATCCCTGGCCCTATTCTTTGCCGCCACACATCCATCCACAACCACAACCTACACAACCCCATTGGATTCAATATCCACCACAGGCTTCACCACAACCTTTTCCAACACTGCCACCGACTCCACAACACCCAACCTCACATCGCTACCCATTGCCCACTACACCTCCACCTCATGCTCAATACATCCAACCACATCAATTTCAGGCACAATTTTTCCAGTGCAACCTACGGCTCCCTTCGACACTACCCAACTTACGCAACAACATCCACATCTCACAACTCAATCACTACAATCCCAAGCCCACACACATCTTACAATGCCACTTCAACCTCAATCTCAACCTCAACCACCATCTCTACCTCCTCAACCACATCTACCACATCAACTACGTCCATCACCACACACGACAAATCAAACCCCTGCCACAACAACAACATCATTTCAACCACCACCACTACAAGCACCTGATATACTACAAGCACCACCACCTGATTCAACAATCACTTCACAGCAGTTGACCACACCAACTCCACCACCACCACCTTACACTTCAACAACCTCACCAGCGACTACTCAACCGGCTTTAGCATCCATCAACACACCCGCACAGCCTCCGCCACCACACCACATTCCACGCACTACCAAGCCAACACCATCCATTGCACCCACACTCAGCACTACAAGAGGCATTTGGCGCGACCCAGATCGCTCACCACCACGCACACCTGAACATCACCGCTATTCAGCCTTTCCAGCCGTTCCCTCCATTGCACCATCACAAGCTACATCCAGATCCAGGAGCCGCACTCGATCACTACGTACCATACGCTCCCCACTACCAAGACGTCGAAGCTCCGCCACACAATCCGTGACTAGTTCTCAAGCACAATCCAAACCTGCAGATAGACAAGCATCACAATCACCAGCAATCACCCAAGACAAAGCTCACACTTCCATCCAAAACATCACTACAGCTACTACTGCAAAACACACTCCAGAGTCAACTCACCGTACTTCCAGCATTACACTCAAGCCCAACCCACATTTCACTCCCAAACATTCCACAAAACAGACACTTCCACCACCACCACCAGCACCAACACCTGCAGTTCCAGTACAACGTCGACCTCACAACTTGCCTCCTCCAACATTCCAACCACCCACTGATCCAGCACAATTGGATGTCTTCCAATGGCTCAACCGCTACGCACAAGCACTTGATGTCAAAAATGAACCCATGCTCTCTTACGTAGCCAAGGTACTCAGTGCAGCTCATCTCAACAGCACCCACTTTACCGACCTACAACTTCTCACCCACACAAAACGGAGCGATGACACCAACAAAGAAGAACATTATTCCTTCCTACTACTCACAATCCCCACATTAGCGAGCAGGGGCGACGCCCCGATTCTTCCTCCTACACGGAGAGAGGCGCTGAACATACCACCTATTAAACACATTTTTGCGGCACACGTTAGCGAGGAGGGCAACATCATTTCAATACTTGAAGCAGGAGAAATCGTGCGATCCATTCTGCATGATGATCACAATGTGGGCTATTTTTGTCAGGCGTTCGAATTGTCGAACTATGAGCCCCATGATGCTGCTGAAGCTGCACGCGTCCTCTTCAATGCTTCCAACATGGCCAAGAACCGCAGCGGCCTCATTCTGACGATCAAAGCCTATGGACACGGCCAGAAAGTCACTCATGGGGGCGAATCCGCAGCGAACGACTTGCTGCTCAGAGGAGAGGGGATTGTAAAATACACCCCAGGAAAATGCTGGGTGGCCCATCCCAAACATTCCAGAATAGAAGGGATAGCTTGGAAAAGCGATGCAAAGCCACCGCTCAGTTTCATTTAATTCAATCTATTCAGCTCACGAGGTTCATTTTTCACCCCGTATCTTGGATGACGACCTAGCCTCAAACAATCTCAGCCAGCCTGCCTGATATTGATATTGATTCTGATTTTTCTAACACATCGTTGTCAACTTCCTTTTCTTCCGATATGTTATTCTTGTACAGATTGATGCCGACAACATGATCTTCTTTACGGTCACTTTTCCAATTTTCCAGACTTGCAGCATGTCAGCATTCCTGATTGATATCAAGCTTTTCGAAGAGAGTCACAAGCATTTCGAAGAGAGTCGCAAGATTTCCTGTGTTTTGCACCCTGCCCCGCAGCCATTTTGTATTATCTTGAATATTGAGCTCGATCCCTGACGACCACCCGAGCTATATTTGCTTCCCGACGAGTACCACGACGATGACTTCCCCTTTGGACACAGCATTTGCCCATCGACTTCTTTTAGCACACCTTCAAGCAGCCACCTCCATTGCTACTACTTTTCAAAACCTTCCACCATTTACACCGCAACCACCACAACAAGCACATCACCCACTCACTACCACTCCACCTTCTCCCCAAAGACCAGCCAGACGCACTCCTCCACCACTGCAACCGCAGCCGTCTTTCTCACGCAGCCGCAGTCCACCTCCCGCCAAAGGCAAACCATTCATGGAGTGCAAGCCAGAACCTTCTCCTTCACATACGCCCACTTCACCACATCAGTTTTCACCACACCACCACAAGTCCAAAGCGACTCACCAACACAAGAACAATACAGACCTCCAGAAACAGCCTACACCACCAATCACAACGATTTCTCTCACCAGCTCGCCCAATTCACCTCCACAAACATCACCAGTTCCACCGATTCCGCCACTACCTACACCAGTACCACCTGCATCACCAGTACCACCATCAAAACCAGCACACATCCTCACGGATTCACCACACTATCCTGACAATGGAGGATGGGAACCCAGTGAAGATGAAAAACTTGCGGCCTTTAAACTCAACAAACGATCTCGCCCTAGTTGGAAATACATAGCCAAAGCACTCAACAAAACACCTTTTGATTGTAAAGGTCGATGGCAAGTCTTGCGAATTCTTTATACACCTCAACAGCCAGACAGTCCAGAAGCAGAAGCATCATCACCACACAAAGCATCTCATCAAGCAGAGGCAACTCCTCCAGCCACAAAAGATGCCAGTACGATGACTACAGAACCTCCGGATC